CTGTCGTGTCCACCTGTCCTTGGTTGGTCGACTGGCGATGATAGTGTGTGGTGCTCGTTACCTATCACCCTTTGCCTTTGTCGTTCGTTAGTTGAGGGTATTAGCTAACGGAGGCTTTGGTGGTGGGCTTCAGAGGTGTGGTCTCTTGGCGTTCGGCAAGGTTCCCGGCGTGTCTCAGGGAAAGTTTGTTCCAGATGGCTATGGAGGTGGTTAGTGCCGGGGTGGTGTGCGAGGCCTGTGGTCGTTTCAGAAGCCAAATGTACTGGGAAGGAAGGTCCTTTCTGAACATATCGTGCTCCAGGTCTACCCATCTTTTTAGTCCCGAGGGGGCATGTAGGGTTTGAATTTGGGCTAGCTGGGCTGCGTGAAAGTAGTGTAAGAAGTGTGGTAGGCCTAATTCCCCTGATCTAGTCAGAAGGTACAGGATGTCTCTCCTTACTCGTGCTTGTTTTTTGGCCCAGATATATTGGTCTATCTGGGTTTGTAGGCATTTGAAGTCTTTGGCGGATACCTGTATGGGCAATGTTTGGAAGAGGTATAAGAATTTTGGCAGTAGGTTCATTTTTATGCATGCTACTCTCCCCAGCCAGGAAATGGAGTGGTTTTCCCATGCCCTGAGGTCGGATGTTGCCCGTTGTAGTAATGGGGCATAGTTTAGGTTATATGTTTGGGAGACATCCGCAGGGAGGTTGGTGCCCAGGTAGTGGATGTGTGTTAGGTTATATCGAAATAGGTAAGTGGCTTGGAGGGCGGCCCTCGTGTTGTCAGGTATTTGAACCGTAGCGTCTCCATTTTGTCTCAGTTTAGGCTGTATCCTGATACCTTTGAGTAGTCTTCTTGGGAGAATAGTAGCGGGGGGAGCGAGCGCTCTGGATCCGTGAGAGTTAAAAGCAGGTCGTCGGCATAGCCAATAACTTTATATTCCTCCCCCCGGATGCGCATTCTCGTGATGTGAGAGTCTAGCCTCAAGGCCTGGAGGAGGGGTTCCAGTGAGAGTGCAAACAGGACCGGGGAGAGGGGGCATCCCTGTCACATTCCATTTACATGTATATTCTTATATGTGTTTCCCCATGCATTGTTTATGTATGTATGCATATATGTTGCTAGCAACTTTATCTTTGCATTGCCCATACCATACCACTCTCACATTACAGACAGATGCACACACACTATATATACACTAATACACATACATATACACACTGATACATGCACATGCATGCACACACAAACACAGTGATGCACAGAGACACAAATATTTACTAATACAGGCAGGCACAATGAGTATTTACTGAATGAATTACTTGTCTGATATTATGTCTGTTTCCCCATCTTTTCGTGTCTTCTGCCCACTCCGCTTTCGGGAGTGCTTCCACAAAGGGAATTCAGTCGCCTCGCAAAAGGGGACCACCCCCAATACCCCATTTAGAATGTTGGCTTAGAACCTACACACCTCACAACATAGTGTCAAACCGCAAGGGAAACAATTAATGAGCACTCTTCCAGCTGGCTGCCATTCGTGCAGATGAACACCGGCCACGGGGAGCGTTCGTGGATTGTTTCCTGACTCATTCGTTTTCTGAACGAGGACCTACCAGTGCCCAATTAGAACGGTCACACCAATTAATCAGAGCGTTCGCACTTGCAACATATGTGTGAAACCGCAAGGGAGGTAATTAATGAATGCTCCACTGGGTGGCCGCCATTTCGTACAGACGAATGCTGTCCAGTGGGAGCATTCGTGTCCCGAAAGGAGACGCTTCCCTTACCAGGTTTCACACAGAGGCCCCACGAGTGGAGTCTGGTCGAGGAAGGTACCGCTGCGAGGGTACCTGAGATTAATGTGGGCACTTCTGAGGCACTGGCGAGTTTGGCGGGCTTTGAGGTGCCTGCTGGGACAAAGAGACCGGCTCTTTTTCCGCAGACGGGCTCTCTGTGCCTGGGAAAAAAAGGGACAGTCCCTTTTTCCCGCACTTGGTCTCCCAGGTACAGAGGCTAATGGGATGAAGACCCCCCTGTCCCCGCATGTGGGAAACCCTGTGTTTGGGTGGCAGGTTTTGGGGGACAAAAGGACAAAGCCCTTTCCCGCATTAGGTACCCTGGGACAGGGTGACACATTGTATGCTGTGTGTTACACCCCTTGCATGGGGTTATGCTTAAAAGCAGTGTGTGGCCAATAAAGTGTTGTTGTACCTCCAGAACTGTCATCCAGTTACTGGGGGGGAAAATGGGTATATTTGTCCGTTACATGGTTCCTGACTGGCTGAAGGAGGGGAATTAGCAGAGGTAACTGGTCAGGTTACCTTTGGTCCGCTACAGTATTTATATGGCTGTGTGTATTTATGAGTGTGTCTGGCATTGTCTACCTGTGTATGTGTCTGACAGTGAGTATTATTGTATGTGAACGTATGTTTCTGTGAGCATGTGTATGTTTGTGCCTGGGACCACATGTGTGTGAGGTAGCTGCTTGCAGTGTTTTGTTTATATGGGTGGCTGCCTGTGACCTTTGTGCAATTTGTTCATGGCAATGCTATGTTTTATGACTTTGTGTGTATGATGATTGTCTTCAGGGGTGACTGATAGGCTAAGTAAAGGGTTAACTGTGTAAGGATGAGTGTGACAGAGCGAGGGGGTGAGTGAGACAGGGTTGGGGGTGAGTGTTACAGAATGAGGGAGTGCAAGTATTACATAGTTGAAGGAGGGAGTGTTACAGGGTGAGGTGAGGTAAGTGTGACAGAGTTAACTTGTTAATGTGACAGGGTAAATGTTTCATGGTTGAGGTAAATGAGGCATTATTAGAGGAGTAAATGTGACAGGACTAAGGGGGTTAATTGACAGGGTGAATGTGGCAGAGTGAGGGGGTGAGCATGACAGGATTAAAAGTGTTACTATGACAGAGTGAATGTGGCAGGGTTGGGGGTGAGTGCAGCATGGTTGGAGGAGGGAGTGTGACAGGAAAAGGGGAGGTGAGTGTAACAGTGCAATAAAAGGTGAGTGTAACAGGATTAGAGGGGTTAATGTGATAGGGTCAGTGTGGCAGAGCGAGGAGAGGTGAGTGCGGCTTGGTTGGATGGAGTGAGTATGACAGGATCAGGAAGGTTTAATGTGAGTGGCAGGGTTAAGGGGTGACAGTGTGTGTGGGATAGTGACACTGTGTGTGGAGGGGGGTGACAGTTTGTCGAGGGGGTGACTGTGTGGGGGTGTAGGGGGTGGCAGAGTGAGTGAGGGAAATGGTGACAGTGTGAAAGGGGGGTAACAGATGGCAGGGTGTATGGGTGACAGAGTGAGGGAGGGGGTGACAGGTGGCAGAGTGAGGGAGGTCACTCAGTCAGTCTGCCACCTGTCACCCCCTCCCTCACTCTGCCACCCCTCCCTCAGTCACTCTGTCACCTCCTCCCCCATTCTGCCATCCCCTCCCACAGTCACTCTGCCACCTGTCACCCCCTCCCTCCCACAGTCACTCTGCAACATGTCACCCCCTCCCTCACTCTGTCATCTCCACCCTCAATCACACTGCCACCTGTCACCCCCTCCCTCAGTCACACTGCCACCTGTCACCGCCTCCCTCTGGCTCTCTGTCACCTGACACCCCCTCCCTCACTCTGCCACTTGTTGCCCCCTCCCACACTCTGTCATAATCTCCCTCCCTCGTTCTGCCACCCCCTCCCTCAGTGAGGGACCAAGGACACGACACAGTTTGCACTATGCCCTAATTAGAGAGCCACCACTGGCAGAAACACACTGACAGTCACACACACACTGACAAATACACATGTCACTTCCAGACACAGCCTCACTGATTTGACACACACATTCATTGACAGACACACACACGCACAATGACAGACATACAAACGATGACAGACACACACTGGCAGTCACCCACACAGACTCACATACACACAGACTCACACATACACACACACACTCTCACAGACTCACACCCACAAGTTATTATTATTATTATTATAATAATTAAAAAATTCTCACCCAGTCTTCCTACCTGGAGAACTGGCGTGGGTCTGTCGTTGGGGGTCCAGTGGGGCTGCTGTAAGCATTAGAGTCTGCCAGGGAGCTGTGATCTCCCTGCTCTGCTCCCTTGTGCCTTGTGGGCCTTGTGGGAAGTCACATTCCAGCTCCTGGCATCAGCAAACAGCGCGCAAGGGAGCAGAGCAGGAGGATCACCACTCTCTCACCCACCAGGAGGTCCATAAGGTGGCCAGCAGGACAGCTCTTGGGCCCCACATGGCAGGAGGAACAAGGGGGACGTCTGAGTGGGCGTTTGGGGATGGCATTTGGTTAGTGCCACCCAAGGCAAATTCCTTGTTTGCTTTGGGCATAATACAGCTCTGCTCTCATACTGCAACATATCGTGATTTCAGGATGATTCAACCCAAGGAGGAGGTCCCGGCAGCACAAAAAAAGACTTGGTGCTGGAAAAAAGGTGAGTCAGTTTTTTTATCTTTACCAAAGTTTTGAAATATTAACTTTGGGGTTTGGGAGAGAGGGTACTTTATTATTAACTTCCCTAACATGCACCCACCATGTGTTATTTCTATTTTCCAACCTATTTAATGTTTTTAGTTTGTAAAGTTACTTTTCTAATTGACTTAGTCATTATCATGCTAATTATTTATTTTTGCCTTTCCCTACAGATGTTTCTATTATCAGGATCCTCTGCTTCTGCCCAACTATCCTGGCTTCCCTCAGTGAATCATGTAACACGACCTCATTATAACTTCTCACAGCAACAAAGAACTCCATGCTCCTGGAAAGTTCTCATGTAAGTTAGCTATGGACTGTTACAATTGTATACTGACAAAGTTATGCAGGATAACAACTTCTAACACAATCGAGTTACGACTTATTGAACCTCCCATTATCCTATCTATTTTCATTTCACTTAAAGGGACACTATTGTCACCTGAACAACTTTAGCTTAATGAAGCAGTTTTGGTGTATAGAACATGCCCCTGCAGACTCACTACTCAATCCTCTACCATTTAGGAGTTAAATCCCTTTGTTTATGAACCCTAGTCACACCTCCCTGCATGTGACTTGCACAGCCTTCCATAAACACTTCCTGTAAAGAGAGCCCTATTTAGGCTTTCTTTATTGCAAGTTCTGTTTAATTAAGATTTTCTTATCCCCTGCTATGTTAATCAGTTTTTTTTTCCATGCAGGCTCTGTCAATCATAGCCAGGGGAGGTGTGGCTAGGGCTGCATAAACAGAAACAAAGTGATTTAACTCCTAAATGACAGTGAACTGAGCAGTGAAATTGCAGGGGAATGATCTATACACTAAAACTGCTTTATTTAGCTAAAGTAATTTAGGCAACTATAGTGTTCCTTTAACCCCTTAAGGACACATGACATGTGTCATGATTGACATGTCATGTGTCATGTCATGATTCCCTTTTATTCCAGAAGTTTGGTCCTTAAGGGGTTGTAGCGGATGGCCATGAGCTGCCCTGGGACTTGTATTATGTTTAACCTGTATTCGTCTATTTGCTAAATGTATATGCAGTAAGGGAATGCATTCGTGTAAAATAGCAAAGTTCTATGTGCTAAATGTATTGTATTCGTCTGAATGTTAGGTAGTTTCATTCCCTTAGTTTGTTCGAATGAAACTACCGAACAGTCAGACTTCCCCTGTGTGAAGTGTGCCTTCAATTACCCGTTGCAACATTGTTGCGAACGGGTAATTGACAAGTTGTGTAGCAATCCTTTGTTCTCGGGGGTGGCCGCCATTCGGGAAACGAACACGTGGCGGCGGCCATCTTAAACTCCCGAACAGCTGTGTTTTGCCGTCGAGTGTCTGGAACTCAAAATGGACACTCGACTAGGCGAACACCGCTGAGACCTCCATCAGCCCGGGGATTCAGGCGAACCCTCCCCAGCCTCTATAGCTGGAGGCTTTCAGGTACTTCATTCGCCTTTTCCAGGACCGACCGCAGGGCCCAATCGCATGGAGCCCAATTCGGCTAGTTCATCCAGTGCGGTCGGTCATTTTATTCCCTCCATGAAATTCCCGAACCCCTGGTCTGATCTGGGTGATTTTTGGATATGTTGTTCACCCAGATCAGGGCTACCAGGGGATGCATAATTTAAAGTGGTACCCCTAGGTTTAGGGGTACATCCAGAAATGGGTGGAATTGCTGTACTGGATAAGGGGATTATGATGCCGGCTGAGGGGAGGAGATGTGTGGGAGGTTACCAGGACAGGATTGGCTATTGTGTTAATGAATGTAATCCCTCCCTTGCATGGGAGCATGCTTTAAAAGGCCACTATGGAATAAAGCTTTCAGTTCTGCTCCTGATGCTGTGTGTCATCTAGTCATTGGGATTGCTGGGGGAATACTATTGGATTATTTTGCCTGTTGGAAACCTTGCCTGTGGATTTATAATTTACTTGTTCCTGAGCCTCACTGGGATCTTAAGCGGAGATAATCTGTGGAATATTGTATCTCCGCTACAGGGGTTAAAGGGACTCTCCAGATTCCTAAAGCACTTTAGCTTGCGTTGAGAGTTTGTTGTTTTTTCATTTTGCAAAACGAAGTTGCCACTTTTATAAATTAACCTTGTTACACCGTATGTACCTTGTATGTAGTGTTGATGTTTGAATGCAGGGGTGTATTTGAGGTACTGAGATGTATGCACATATACATGAATAAATACACACTGATACACATGTAGATACATAGACACACAGACACACAGATGCACACTGACAGACAGATATAAACACACACACTCACTGACACACATGCAGATACATTGCTACACACACTGACACATATACAGAGACACAGATACATATACACACACACACATATACAGACACATAAGTACACACATGCAGATAAATAGATACTGTAGCAGGCTGACCACGTCTTGGGTCATAAACCACAGAAACAGTTCTTTCTTACAATATTAGGGAAGCTTTATTTAGCAAGCCGGCCTTACTTTAGCCACAACAAAATTTTAGACTAACTAACACAGAGTACCTTGCATACTGGTTTAGCAGTGTCTTTTCCTCTTTGGCTCTTTGCCTGTTAGGCTCTTAGGCTCACAGTCTCTCTGTCTCCACCCCAGCTCTTCACAGGAGAGAGTGATTCCCCTCTGCATAGGGTTTATGTAGCTCCCTAACTAGTGTTGTAGAGCAGCCTGATGTTTGACCCCCTCTAGTCAGGGAGCACTGAGACTGGCATTCTAGGGCTAATATAGCGGTGTTCCCTCACACTGCCACAATACACAGACACACAGATACGAACACTGAAACACAGACACACAGAAAGATACACAAACACACATACAGATACACAGACACACAGTTACATATATTGAAACACTTACAGGTAGTGTGTGTGTGTGTCTATAGTGGGTGCAGAGTGTTTATTGGATGCAGTGTCTGTATAGTGCATGTAGTGTGTGTTTGTTGTGTTAGATAAGTGCTGGGGGGTGTTAGCAGTCTATAATGATAGCGTTTATTTCCACATTTTGCTTGTAGCTGAATATATGCCTACAAAATTCCTGATTTTGTGCATGGGTACCTGGATGAATCAATGGGGGAGGGGGAGTGATTAAGGCAAAGGGTGATCACACCAAGTATTAGATTTGTGCATTTAATTAAATTTAAATTACGATTCATCCAGAGTTTGGGTGTATGGAAAGTCGCTCAAATCCCTTAACTCTAAATCATTG